TGTTGTTGCTGCTGTTGCTGTTGTTGTTGCTGCTGTTGTTGCTGTTGCTGCTGTTGTTGCTGCTGCTGTTGAACCAGTCTCTGTTGCTGGTAGTTGATTTGATCACGCTCCAAGTCCAGCTGCTTGTAGTTGGGCTCGCGTCTGGGCAGGAAATAATCATTGGTACTCATGAAATGCAAATAGCTTTCCGCTTCCTTGGACAGCTGCGAAGTCTGCTGATAGTTGTTGGCAAATGGAGCGACATTCTTCACATTGTCTGTGTCTTCATAGACKGCATAGCCGTTGGCAGYTTGTGCCAATTGCTGAGGCTGCTTGGTCGGTGTCTCGGCATAGTTGGCTACATATTTGGTGGCCTCCATTGGTATGGCGTATTGCTTGATTGGTGCATATCCTGGAAACTTCTGCGGCTGCTCCTTGTTCGCATTGTAGTGGGGCGGCGAGGCCTTGAAATTCGGCGTATACTGATTGACATTGTAGTTGAATTGTGGCGCCTCCTTGGGCCGATAGAACTGATTCTTGCCCACATCCAGCACTGGCGCCGCATCCTTGGAGTGGGCAAAGCGATTGCCGCCATTGCCAGCATATGGCCARTTGCCATTGAACTCACGCCGCAGCAGCTGCTGTCCAGCGAGCACTGGCGGTGGCATCGGTGGTCGCCAGGGAGTTGGTGGCCTCAAGTTGTCTCCATTTGGTCGCAGGCGTGGCCCTTGTCCTGGGCCAACACCAACACGGCGATTGGCATGGAAATTGGGTGGGGGCTCCCTCAGGAACTGCATTATGCGCGCAGTGCGAGGCGATGCAGTAGTCGCTGCACTTTCCACTTCCCGCTGCAGGCAGACTGCAGCCAGCAGCAGCAACACACTTAACACATGCATAAGGCCTGGCATTATGTTGCTTCTGCTATTCCTACTCTTCCACATATTTGAGTCTGATCTGTACGAAAACTCGCGTATCGCGTCGCGTTGTGTCTGACTTCTGCGACTGTCGATCAGCATTTAATTCTGCCGTTGGCCGCGCAGCTCTTCGGTTCTTCAACTTTTACTTTACTTTTACTCGAAATAAACAAATTCCGATTTTCTTAAAATTTAACCAACAACAACAAC